AACCCATTAATTCCCAGCGGGCGCAGGAACAACCCAGCCAATATTAGAGTGTTTTCCGTTTCCCTCAAGTACAGGTAAAATTAGATGCAATGCTTCCACTAACGGGCCAAAGTAGCAGCCAGTGTATTGGTGCAGGAAGAAACCAAGGTGTATCCATTAAATTCCAGCGTGCGCAGGAACAATCCAGCCAATATTAGAGTGTTTTCCGTTTCCCTCAAGTACAGGTAAAATTAGATGCAATGCTTCCACTAACGGGCCAAAGTAGCAGCCAGTGTATTGGTGCAGGAAGAAACCAAGGTGTATCCATTAAATTCCAGCGTGCGCAGGAACAACCCAGCCAATATTAGAGTGTTTTCCGTTTCCCTCAAGTACAGGTAAAATTAGATGCAATGCTTCCACTAACGGGCCAAAGTAGCAGCCAGTGTATTGGTGCAGGAAGAAACCAAGGTGTATCCATTAAATTCCAGCGTGCGCAGGAACAATCCAGCCAATATTAGAGTGTTTTCCGTTTCCCTCAAGTACAGGTAAAATTAGATGCAATGCTTCCACTAACGGGCCAAAGTAGCAGCCAGTGTATTGGTGCAGGAAGAAACCAAGGTGTATCCATTAAATTCCAGCGTGCGCCTACTCCTGCAGACAAGCGGGTCAAGCGAAGACCTGTCTTGACTGGCCAGACCTAGCCTGTCCGGCCAAGCTAGTCAGCCCAGCCTAGAGGGGCAGAAACCCTAGGAGCTGTTGAGAGAGATTACAGCTCTAACACGTACAAGAGGGGAATTAAGGGGGGGTTTGAGGGGAAAAGTATGATTGGATGTTGGGAAGTATTTATTAGGGCCAATTAGTGAGGGTTAGCTTTATATTTTAATTGGCTGAAGTTTTTCTTTTGACTGTGTGTTCCTAGCAGCGTTTAGAGTTTGCGGAGAACGATCCACCCTTGATTTGTAGATCAACCCTTGCATTTTGTTTGTTTCCGTGCTTTAATAACCCTATCTTGGCTTTAACTCATATCTATTGCAAATTACTCACTGGCTTTAACTCATATCTATTGCAAATTACTCACTGATTTTGGCTTTGGCTCGTATCAAATTAGTATCAAAACAAGATCTTAGAGAGATGGCAGCAAAGAAAGTGGATGCGTTGGAAGAGAAATTAAAAGGAGAAGTAGGGCAAATCACTTTTGGGATGGAGGAAATGTTCTTCACCAAAGAAGGAATGTTTTCTCCATGGATAAGTTTTCTTCAATGGAAAAACGATTCGGGGGCTTGGTGGAAATGATAAGACTTATAGAACTGCAATACAGGACCCCACCAACGGCTCAATTTGTAAAAACTAGCCAAGAGTAGGCCAGAGGATCCTTTGTCAAATCAAAAGAGAGAGATCGAACGAGAATAACATAAGGAAGACATCCACTATTGAGAGTAGGCCAGAGGATCCTTTGTCAAATCAAAAGAAAAAGAGATCGAACGAGAATAACATAAGAAGGAAGGCATCCACTATTAAGAACTTCCACTGAGGACTCTGACATAAGATGGATCAGAGATTTCTGATGAAGGGGGTGGGGCCAAAATTTAGAGGGGATACGCAAAGGATACGGAGCAGCGCGAAGAAGGAAGGAGAGAAACTGGAATAGGATATGACTATGATTGAAAGAGAAAGTTTCACTCTAGATACATGGGGGAGCACCAAAACAAGAGAAAGTTGGGTGATAATGTTAAAGTTAGAAAGTTGAAGATGTCGATCTTAGAAGGGGAAGACACACATGCGTATGTGTATCAGGTGGAGTGATACTTCGCAGTGAATGACCTAAATGGGGAGGAAAAGATCACGACGGTGGTGTTATGTTTGGAGAGAAAAGCCCTAACATAGTTTGAGCGAAGCAAGACTAGATATCTAATCCGTCCATTGGAGAAATTTAAGGATTGCTTGTTGGAACATTTCCAAGCCATTCGAGATGCCTCGAATCAGGAGGGGACTGTCATGAAGTATAAGAAGAGATTCAAGCTATTGTTAGGACGATTGAAGGGAATTTCTGAAGCAAGACTGGAGATGAATTTCATGAAAGGCATAAAGCCCAACATACGAGTAGCACTCCTACCATCAAGACCGTGGGTATTCAGGAAGAAGATGGAGCTTGTCCAAATTGTGGTAGGCAAGAAGTAGATACAAATACAAGAAAAAGCAACAATACTGGAGAATTCCACAAGAGTAACATAACGATCATGACACCGAAGATCAAGACGGTGTTATTTCAGGAGGTATTGAAGAGGAATATGGTTGCCTGCCCCGGAGTCAATTTCAAGTGCCTCAAAGAGTAAAAGTTGCAAAACAAAAGAGAAAAAGGATTATTTCTCCAATATGATGAAAAGTATGTTAAAAGCCACCGGTGCAAGGAGCACACACTCCAGTCCTTTCAGTTTATGAGGGGGTGGAGATATATAGTGAGTTGGAGGAAGAAACAGTGGAGGAGGAGCACTTGCACTTGGATATAGCGAAGGTATCCCCCAACTCAGTGGTGGGTTTACTCTAAATCGCACCATAAATGTGAGGGGACAGATCGGAGAGCAGTCAATAGTAGAGCCACCCACAATTTCATCTCCAATCGGGTCGTGGACCAGCTAGGGTATATGGGAAGCTTTGGGGTCATGATTGGGACAGAAAAGTCATAGAAAAGTTAAAATTTTTAGGGGATTAGTATTGACACTATAGGGCATCCAGGTGGCGGATGATTTTCTTCCTTGGGCCTTAGGAAGTATTGATTTGATTTTGCAGATGAAGTGGTTGCAGGCAACTGAGGAGATGAAGTTGGATTGGAAATCCTTGACTATGGAGATTCGGGTGGAAGAGAGGAAGGTGGTGTTACCCCTATGCAGAGCCCTGATCTCACTCAAAACCATGGTCAAGATTATGCGGGGAGCAGGATTAGGCTATTTGGTAAAGTTGCGGAGTATATAGAAGATTTGGGCACCCGAGTCAGTAGAAATCCTTGAAAGTGTTCAATAACATCTACAACAGCTTTCTGACTTCTTTCAACAGCCTAGCAAATTGCCACCACCAAAGAAGCATGTGCATGCCATTACAATGAAAGGAGTTCATCCTATCAATATTAGACCATACCGATATCTTCAGATTTAGAAGAATGACATGAAAAAGTCGATTTGCAAGATGCTCGAAGCATGGATTATCGAAGCCAATGTGAGCCCATATTCCAGTCAAACTCTCTTGAAAAAGAAAAAAAAAAAGATGATAGTGTGATATTTTGTGTGGATTACAGGGCCTTGAATATAGAAATTGCACTGTAAAAGTTTCCAATTTCGATGATTGATGAGCTGTTATATGAACTTTATGGAGAAAATTGAACTGAAATCGTCATACCATCAAATTAGGATAAATCTAGCTGATGTGCACAAGACAGTGTTTAAGACTCATGAAGAAATTATGAGTTTTTGATGATGATGTTTGGCATTACCAACGCTCTTGCCACCTTTAAATCTCTGATGAATAGGATATTTCAATTGTACCTTTCAAA